ACGCGCACTCCCTTGTTGTCGGAGAAGTTTCTTGTCGGGCTTCACTACTGTGTTGGTCGTGTCACCAAATCGGACGGTTGTCGGAGTCTCAGTATCCGAGCAATGACAGAGGTCAATGATTCCAGCTCAATCAGCTCCCCTTTGATGCAGTCAATGGAAAAGAAGGTTCAATTACTTCCATCTCATTAAATAACTTATATGCTTCTTACCATCGTCTTCGCTTTTAAGCTATGGACGTTAGTACGCTTCCGCTGATTTATAACATGATTTTACTTATCATCTGGGGGGACTTTATTTCTCCTGTATGTGGCCGAATATGCCCAAAAAAGCTGCATCTTAATCCTCTTGCATTCTATTTTGATACGGAATTGAGAACAGGAACAGTGGGAGCTATATGCTTCTACGGGAAGGAAAGAATTCGATATGTATAATTAATACTTGCGATTTCCTGTTAGATTCTGGAACTTTTGTAGCAATCGTTGTTGCTCTTGCAACCTCCAATAAGCGAAGGTCCTGCCCTTCGCCGATGATGAGACTTTTCTGAAATATTCTTAGATGAAGAGNTGTAGCAATCGTTGTTGCTCTTGCAACCTCCAATAAGCGAAGGTCCTGCCCTTCGCCGATGATGAGACTTTTCTGAAATATTCTTAGATGAAGAGACGTGTCCTCGGGCGTCACTAAAAATCCTGTTAACTGAGATCACGTACCATCGGCTTACAAATTCCCTCGCCCCGAGGTACTTGACATGTGTCGAGTACGTTTTACGAACCGACACGTATCCCTCGGTCTAAATATGGTGCCTCGGTCGTCATGTACAGCTTCCCTCGGCTCGAGATGTATCTATTCTCGGTACCGAGACGTACATATCCTCGGTACTGAGACGTACATATCCTCGGTATCGAGACGTACATATCCTCGGTACCGAGATGTACCCCTGTCCTGGATGTCTTTTTCTCTGCTCCAGTATAAGCTATTGATGTACAGGTCATTAGCCTAGGCTAGTTTAGGTTAGCTATCATGGTCTCGTCTTACACAATTGGTGTTAGAAGGAACAGGAAGGCAGGGTCCACAGCCAATGAGGGATGGACGCGTAGCAAATTGTGTCACATCAGAGACAGAAAGACCGCATGCCCTTACTGACACACGACTTGGGAAAGCAAACATTTAATTACACCATTCCCTTGATGAGACTGCATTCAATGCGGTAAGGCTCGGAATTGAAAGGCAATAAATGTCTCTAAGGTTGGGCATTTATTGCATCCTCCCCGAGTGGAGATCATTAGACAGTCGGCAGCCCGATGACATAGCATTGATTGCTCGGCACTTCGAGCAGTTAAAGAAGGGAAGACATTCCTCATCAGAATCAGTGCGCACACTGCCTGTACCTAATGATCATCTACTGACAACACTGACAGCAATCATGAGCTTTTGAGGTATAAATACTCCTTATAAAAGGCAAAACGGTATGCAACAAGAAACTCTTTACTACGAAATATACTCAGTGCTTTCTTCTTCCTCTCCCTTTCAAAAACTGACTTAATCGTCGGAGGGGATAAGTCGGAAAACACTCCGGTGCCCTTCTAACTTGTTCTCCTTTGTTTTAGGAATCTTTCCCCAGCCTTACTGGATCATTCCTTCAGTTCACGAGGGTCTCCCGTTACTGTTCCAAGTTACCACCGGACCTCACAGGCTGTCCCAAGCAGCGTGGTTGATCACTCAACTGACCCACTCGAGTTCACCAAGGGAGAGATCTGTTCTCGTTGTTTATATTGTGCAAGATCCTGCACGCACAGGAGCTATATGCTTCTACGGGAAGGAAAGAATTCGATATGTATAATTAATACTTGCGATTTCCTGTTAGATTCTGGAACTTTTGTAGCAATCGTTGTTGCTCTTGCAACCTCCAATAAGCGAAGGTCCTGCCCTTTTGCTACCCATTTAGCTGCAAAGCGTGGAGACATGTTTTGGTGATGATAATGGTTTTAACATAATACGAGAAACGCCCATCAATTTTTTCACTGAAGGAATAATTAGCTTCTGACAAAAAAAAAAAGAAAAAGGAATAATTAATGTCTCCAAGCATCTGTATAATTATGGAGTACTGGTGCAGTGATTCTGGTCAAAGTATGAGGATAAGACACTTGATGATTATTTGTCGTTCACTGACCATGTTACTAAATCCACAATCTCTAACTTCAGTGGCTATTAAAGCAGCCTTTTGTGTAGGTTTTTAATTGATAGAAAATAGTAAATTTTATAAATATGCATCCAGTAAGAAAAGTTATATACTCTATCAAAGGTGGATAAGTCATCCTCCCACATGATAGGTGAAAACATATGACATACAAGCAAAACTATGGACATTGACCATGCTATCTTCCACACGAGGCTATCCAACTAGGAATATTTGTAAACTTCTTAGATGTTGATGCCCCAAAGGAAGCCAAGAAATACATTCGGTTCCATAATCCTTCAACATCCTCACTTTTATCCTCAAAGATCCTTACATTCTTCTCTAACCTAGAAAACATAAATATGAGTACAAGTGTTATATCCAATATGATATCGATATTGAGATACCAAAGTTCAAAAATGTAGGACATGAATTCGGCAATGATACGACTAATTAAACTTTTCTTTTAGACAATAATAGAATTGTTATATATTAGAAACAAAACATATTATATAAAATTATTAATAATAAGACCTAACAAATATTAATTTTCTAATTAAGATTAAAATAAATTTTCACAATTTTCATCAAACATCCATTAATATTCATATTCCATAAGTTAACAAAAAGTACAAAAACGAAATAAAGAAATCCTGCACTACTTTTAATAGTTAATAATCGTGAGATAAACAAAAAAAAAATCTGGTCATAGACTAGTTGTCTCCTGACTGTGTCTGACCAAAAAACAAACATTGCCAAAATTATCATAAATAATCTTGATCACACTTAGAATTGAAATCCAAAGTTTAATTTCATCATATTTACTCAACATACAAAATTGATCAACTTGTCTATTTTCAAGTTTATTAAATATTTGCGATGCTTTTTTTTCCTTTTTTTTTTTTTGGTGGTTGGGGTGGGTTGGGGGGGGGTAGTTATAATAGTTTGTGATGCTGTTTTTGTAGAGAGACAGAGAGAGAGAATTATTAAGGCTGTAGCCTGACAACATTGACCTAACCTAATGACATGATGTTGCATGACTATGCTATTCTCCTCCCTTGAAATTTTAATTTAAGTTTTTGCTTGTTGAAAATAGTGTTGGGTTCCCTTGATAAGCCTTGAGTTTAACCATAACTGCATAGTTAGTTTAGTCCACTAAGCTTTTAACAATGGAATATTGTTAAGTTAGTTTTTTTAATTCCATGTCTAAGTAGATGTGATTATCTGCAACAGATCATTTGTAAGGTGGACTAGATTAAAGTGAATGCCATCCAATTGAGTAAAAGATGGATGAAGTGAAAAAGAGCTTCGAAGGTCTTCTTGATGCTGGAAGATTCGCCATTTAGCCTAGACGTTGATGTGCATACATCCATGCAAGAAGAGTTTCGAGCTCAAGACCTCTTTGATATCATTTAGCGTAAGAAGGCCCATCACTTGGCCCATGGTTCAAAGTATCAATCGATATCGACACAAGTCTGTTGAGTCGTATCAATATAAGTATAAATTTCGATTCTTACACGGCTTGTCCTAGTCGTTCGAGTTGTATTAGAGTCAATCTCAAGTCGACGAGTTAGCATCACAACATTGTCCGATACGGTTCCACGATGCCGCGATATGACCTGAATCTCTTGTCATGTTCTACATTTTTTTTAGGTCTTATCGTTGATACCAGACTGCGATGTCGCAACCGATGTGCCTCAGATATCTCCAAGTTGATGGCTGATATTACGACCTTGAACCACGACTTGACCCAAAAACCGTACTTTTAAGAGAAACATAGTCAATTCCTTTATCTCCTAGCCTATGTTCCAGTCAATCGAGGCGGACCTACATTAGGAAATGATTCTCCACACAAGATGTTCCTGGATCATACTTCCATACTGAAAGAGTCTTGAACTTGAGACCTCTTGCTCTGATATTATTTGATGCAAGAAGACCAGTTGGCCCAAAAGCCACAACTCGTGGGAGAGACGGAATCATTTCCTTGCCCCATAGTCCATGTTTTAGTCAATCGGGGGGACCAGCATCCGTGCAGAAATGATGCTCTACAAGGCTTGCTTTGCTATACTATATACATACAAGGCACCAATGGTACAACACAGAAGATCAATCCTATTTGTGTTGGCATATTCGCAAGGATGAGAGGATGGTAGAACAATGTTGATTGAGATTTAAGGAGATGTGTCCTTTATTTGAACATTAATATTGATCAATAGTGAAAATGAACGATCCTTGTCAATTCCAAGTGGGTTGAGATGATATGCATATTGTATCTTTTTGAGTTAATCAAGAGGAGTGCATATTGTGATATTGCATGTTAAGAATTTGACATGGCACTAGATGATAACAATTAGAAATTTATGTAGACCACGAAAAATTATGTGGTTTGCTACCTTAAAACTCTTCCGTTTTCTAGGTTGGGCTCGTAACTGTACCTTGCATAGACATATGTCTTAATGCTCATTTTATCTTTCTGGGAGTCACACCGTGCCTGATAGATGCCTAATCTGATTATTCCTTTTGGTTTTTGTTTGTATTTTTAAAATTAATTTTTTGGCTTGGCTGAAAAGATAAAACCTAGGTGCTATTGCGCTTTAGGTACTCAAAGATTTGCAGCCCCTTTGGTTGTTACATGTTCTCTCTTTTTTAATCCTCCTATTATTTTAAGTTGAGAATGCTACTTTTTTAGTTAATTGCATTTATTTTCTGTTTTTCTCTTCTGAATATTCGATATTTCTTCCGCATCTGTATTGAAACCAAAGCAACTATTGCATTGTTTTTTGATAGATTAAAGAACACCTAAATGCAGAATCAGTCACTGTGAAGGATGCCTATGGTGATGGTCGGCATGTTAGGTAAGCTTGCATCTCACTGTGATATTGTACAGATTAACGCTGTAAGATGAAATGAATATTTACCACTTTGTTACTGTGGCATTGCAATGGTGATTTCTAGAAATAACTAGTTTGTATGACACTGTTGTTGAACTTAGTGACTGGGATGAAGATGTTAATGCTAATAATTTACTTTGCTGAAGCATCATAGCAGCCCAATCTCCCCAAGGGACCAAAAACCTGATGAATTCCTTTGGGAACATGAAGAGTGTAGCCAGAAAACATGGGGTGTATGTTGGGATCTTTGCCTTTAACATAATTATGGTTTATATTGGGTGTTCCCTAAATCGAGAGCTTAGGGGATTCTATTATGGAGCGATTCAAGAGGACGTTACCAAGTTGGGAAAGTATATATCGGTTAGAAATGGGATTGATTGACCCTCATCAGTTACGTTGATCATCATCAATGTAAGTTATCAAGCCTCCTAATTTATTTTGTGGCCTTATTCACCATTCTGCCTTGGTTGCATGAAGAAGCTTCAAAGAGACTTTTTGTGGGTACGACTAGGGAATATTATCAGTATTCCTTAATTGGCTGATAGAAGTAGTGCCTTTCAGTGATAGTGGGAGATCTGCACTTTAAAGTGCTCAGGGTTTTCATTTAAATCTGTTTTCGAGAAATGGCTATTGAAATATGCATATGAGATCGACGCTTAATACCATTACCAGAGGGTAATAAAGGCTAACTTGGTAGTGCACAATGAATTGGTGTTCTAAAGAGGCTAGGCCTTGCATGAAGTAAGACTGTGAATGCTATTTGCTAAGGTTGGGTAAGGTGTTCAAACGTCAAAGCAAAGAACCTGAGTTACGAGCTTTTGATTCCATCGTGAAATCAAGTTTAAACGGCCCACTCTGGGTTCCATAAAGTTGTCTTTTATATCTTGTTTTGGTAACGAAAAGCATGGTCATGAAAACCATTTTCGTTTCTGACGGATCTTGGTCATGGTTTTGATTTCTGGGACATATGGAGAGAATGGAGAACAGAAGGTTTGAGGGAATGGGCTAGCCTTCTGTTACAATTTGGAGCATGCTTAACTAGTTAAAAAAAAATGGTGGATTGTAATAAGTTGCATGGTCCTGTTACCAAGCTGAGGAGAACTCTACCCCTTATATTGGGTCAACAGATTCTATATTTGAAATCCTTGCCCATAAAAAGATGTCATCTATTTTTGATATGTTGTTTATTGCAGTCATTCAATTTTCTCTACTGGTTACCAAGTATAGGCCCTCTGAGAGGACTTAATCTTGACATGTTGAATTTGTATCACTTGATACGTAGAGTTATATTGCATATGAAGTTAAGAGTAAAAAATGGGATGTAAAATTGACAAAGTTCATCCCTGAATACATAAAACATTGTCTAGGAGATCAGTATTAGGTGCTAATATGGCAAGTCTTGTATGATAAAGTAAATAATTTTAGTATTTTACATTTATCTTCAATTCCTTGTAGATGTTTCAACAACTTGGCATATTAAATCACTTATGGCCAAGTTATGGAAATGAAATCTATGTTTATGGTTTAACAATGAAACCAAACTCAAAACAAGTTTGTTTGCCTCATATGAGAAGAAAATGAGGTTTAGAATCTCAGCTATGTTGGGATGATTGTGCGAGTGGTAGAAATTAAGAGAGAATGAAATAAAAAAGGGTCGATCTGGAGATTATTTATCCTGAGGGAGGCCTCTTCGTAAGTCCCTGAAGTTTGATAGGCATGACCCTTGCACTCATGGAATCAACACTTCTGGTGTTGGTAAGGGCCCTAGTGGATCTTTGATGAGTCAATTTCAATCTTTCCCTAGCAGTTATGAGGACCGATTATCAAGTATAGAACTAGGATTTTGAACCTTTGCCGGGACAGTTTCCTTGGAGCTATGGTATTTTCTAATGCAATTTGACTAGTTGGTGGCATACCTTCAATGCTTTTTCCCTTTGTCTTTGGAGAGTCAAGCTTCATCTCTGTTAAGATATCTATACCAGTTAGTGCTTCACAACTTTCATTTTAGGGATACTACTACCATTACTCTCAGGAGCTTGGTAATCCACTTTTGCAGAACACACGCGTATTTGTTAATATTCTTAACTTCTTAAAAAAATGTATAAAAATTCTTCTAGATGACAACATCCGACATCTAGTGTAAAACATTCATCAAACCATATTATTTACAAGAAAATCAGGTTTATTATGCATGTTTATTAATATCGCTTAAGAAAAAAAAATATTAATATTGCTTAAGAGATTGTTTGACGTTAATTTGTAGTAACATGCGTTTTATGTCAAGTCTTTAAAAACAAATGGTTTTTCGGCCTGCTCTTGCAACCAGTGGAGCAACATACTTGAGATTATTTCAGCATCCTTCAAGGATATCACAACTAACCAAAGTCTTGTACCATCTACTTTAGATTGACTGAATGAATCTTATGATGCTATTCTACTGTATATAAGGCCATATTTCCATTGAATCACAAACTATGAAATCTTTCTTTACTAGTCCTTTAGATCCCTTAGCACTATTGTTGATTGTGATGAGACCATTCTTCCTAGTCAATGCTGTCATTGTTCTTCATTGAACTTTCTGAACCAAATTAGTTGGCTTTTTCTTAATTTACTATTAGAACAACTTTTCCCTTATTTTTAAGTGTTATACTTTCAACAATCACAACTTCTTCGGATTGATTGTAATTTGTAAGCATCTGATTATGCCATTAAACTTTACATAGTGTCATATTTTTCACTAAATCACAAGCTATGAAATCGTAATGTACTGATCCCTTAGCAGTATTATTGTTTGTGATCACACTGTTGTTCCTTGTCAATGCAGTTATTGGTCTTCATTAAAAGTTGCGAACCAAATTAGTTGACTCTTTTCTTTATTTACCATTATGTACAACTTTACCATCCTATACTTTCCTTTCTTGTTTTCTTGCAGCACATTATGAACTTCTTGCACACTGCCACCTTTGTTTTTAATTATTCTCTCTCTTTTTTTTTGAAGTTACTCAACATTTCACATTGTTGGTCTTTTAGTTGTTTTATGAAATTTTCCACTCCTCACAAGTAACAGAATTATTGTTTCATTTAATTTAATGTGCTTTTTGGGAAAATCATGTCACCTACTAAAGTTTTCAAATGAGATTCCAAAACATTTCTATCAACCCAATCTAAAAAGGTGATCGGTTCATTCTATGAAAAAAAGATGATCAATTAAGAGGAGCAATTGGTAGATTTGGTCAATTCACGGAGTGAATGTTTGAGTCCAAGAATTTGCAGATCTGGATTTGCTACTAAAGCCGGATGTATGCCCGATGTGAGAATGTCACTCCCTTTTGGAAAATCTTGTGACTTGGGTCGTAACAGAGTTGCGAAGCATGTAGAGTTTGTGTTTGGTGTGTTAAAGTGTACATCTACGTTGGTCTTCTGTGACCTTGGGCTTGCGTGTATACTTTCGTAACAAATCCTGTGTTGTGGGATTCTCATGAAGAAATTTCTCATTTGAAACGTTGGTACAACCCACTAAGTTGCATTAAATATTTCTGCCAATGATTTTTCCAGTCAAAGAAGCAATATCGTACTGAAAGATTCGCCAACTGACTGGAAATGTACTGCAAGTTTATTCTCTAACTGTCATCACATGTGCTGGGATACCTACCATCCACGACATCAATCATAGAATTTATCTTTTACACCTGGTGCGTTGGATTGAATCATGCATTTTAACTTTTATTGACAGGTGATATTTCTCATAGCGACATTCTTTTACTCCATTTGTGCATAAAGAGCCAAACTTTTAATTTGACGGGTTTCTATTTTAAGTTTAACTCTGTTGTGTGCTTGCAGCATTGATGTTATCTCTTCATCTTTTGATGGACAATCGGTTGTGAATAGGCAGAGAATGGTATACAAAGCCATATGGGAAGAGCTTCAAAACACTGTGCATGCGGTGGACCAAATGACCACCAGGACCCCCACAGAAGCAGCTTCAGAGAAATAATATAGCAAAACAAAAAAGTCCATCCAATGAATTCCTTTACTGCATTTTTTGTGTTAAGACCTATTCTGCATGTAATCTTGAACTTTGTCATATATTGTTTAACTGAAGAACCTACTCTTGGCTGAACTATAGGACCAGATAAACACAATTTTCCGCCTCATAGGTCTTTATAGCCAAGCACTGCATATCTTTCTAATCATGTTATTTCTTATTCATAAGCAGTACCACATTTTCTTTGTGACGTATCTTTGGCATAGACAGCACTTGGGTAGCCCATCTGATTGAGTGGTTGGGGAACTTTGAACACTTTGGAATCTTAATATGCCTGTTGGGTGGAAACGCCCTAGTTAATTTTTAGGCTAGACTGACTAATTCGGTTCTGTTTCGATATTTCTGCTAATAGCACATTGCATCATGTCGGGTGCACCTTATTATATGCTTGCTCAGCTGTTGATTTCAGTTACTTTTTAATGAGCCCAGACTAATTTTTCAGTATAAAGTAGTGAAAATGTAAAGAGAATGCCATGCATGGATTTGTAACAGTTTTTACAAGCCATCCTATTCCTAAGAGGATATTACAGTTACAGTGGAGCGTGGATTAAACCACCTGTTTACCTATTCCAACCATGCTCTTTGAATTGTATATATGTCAAAAATACCTAGTTTGCTGTTTATTTACAAGATTCAGTAGTGAGTTTGCATGAAACATTCACTTTCTTTCTGTGAATAAATTGAAGGGAACACTGTACATGAGAGAAATGAGGCAGTGACAATGAGAACAAGAATCTATACCCTCAGCTGCCTTTTCAAAAAATCACGAACTAACGTAAGTGGAATACTTGTGTCTCCATCCACTCCTGCAATGTTAACTTATCGAAGGCAACATAGGATTCATGCCAAAGCCAGATCCCCCAAAAGTACCTGGCTCAGCATGCTTCACTCTACCAAAATATCTGATATGACGCAGCAGCCTGGCCAAGAAGGTGTTGTGGCATATCGTTGAGCTATCACACACCACTGCTACATGTTTGCGTGCTCTTGTTATGGCAACATTCATTCGTCGACTATCCCCCAAAAATCCAACTGCTCCCAGGGTGTTTGACCGGACCTTGAAAAAAAAAGGATGAAAAGTCATCCAATTTCTTTATTGGATAGATACCTAAAATGTGATGAATTTTTCTGGATAACTATGTAATGAAAAATGTAAAAAACTAGATCCACATGAGGTGTGTGATTCATTGCTTAAAAAAAACACCAGTCACTATCAAAACGGCTAAAAAAATACTAGCTAACAGACCAAACCCCAACCAATAACTATGGTTGCTCGGGGTTGGATAGTCTATTAAATGCTGGTTAACTGTCTAAGATGTAGGTTGTTTAAGAACAGAGAATATATAGTGTTATGCTCCAAAGATCAACACCACAAATTATTGAATCGTGGCTGACTAACTATCCATACTAAGAGCTTACCATTGATATAATCACCGCATCAGCTTCCCGGCCTTGAAAGCTATCAATGGTTGCAACCTCAACGCCTGCGGCCTCTGGGAGCTCATCAAGTTTGTCCCTCAATAATTGCACTTGAGCGACATAAGGAGACTGCACTGCAATGGCTGTGGGGCTCACACCTGCTTATTATGCATACAATTAAACAGGGTCCATGGAAGCCATACAACATATGCTAGATTTGCCCATTATGTTGTAGAAAGTAAAGCTAACAACTGCTTCGGTTAAGGTTCTCAAAAAAAGAGTGCAATTTGTCCACCCTCTACACAAACGTGACTTTCCTATGTGCCCTGAATAGCTTAAAATTCCAGGATACATTTGGATTCTTGTTAACATATTTTTCCTTGATTAGATGTAGCATCTTCTTTCCACGAGCACATGCTAACTAACCACATTCTCGGTACTAAATGTCTTTAGAAAAATCATGTTAATGCTAGACTGACCCAAAGGACCAAAAACAGTGTAAATTGACGAAAACTTTCGTTTTCCATCAAAGCTTGCTGCTGGTAATAAACTATTGGCACAAATGATTTCCCTAAGGACACATGTGTAATTTGCCATTGCTTCAAGCGAAGGTAAATGTTTTTCAGTCTAGTGTGTAAATGCTGGGCAAAGTAACTAGATACTAGATGCATTGAAGGAGAGAAGAAATGAAATGTACATAATTACATTTGTTAACCTTTCTCTATTTGTTTGGCCATATAGAACAATCGGTTGCCTACAATATACATACAGGTAATGAATGACAAAATAGTGATTTGTCTCGTATATTTTCCTTATATAAAAAAAGAGATGTTATCCAGACCTACAATATGATGCTTCATGTTAGGTCTATCCTCTCCCTTCAAATGTTAGACAAGGCTCTTATGACGAAGTGTTTGTGTAATATAATCATGTTCTAGGAGTGAACAAGAGCCAGATAGGTTTCTAAAATCATGTTATATTTTGATAGTTATGCTCCTCTATAAAAATGTCGTACTAGAGCACACATAATACGTCATTTATTTAACTTCTATGAACATATTTTAAAGCACGATTTCTACAAATTACCAAATTGGCTCTTGAAAAAGTTGAAAGCCAGTAAAGGTTTCATGTATCTATGTCCAAGTAATTGATATTTTGCAGTCAACTTGAATTTATGCACTAAATCTATTAGCGAAAATTCTCGAGCTAGACAACTGGGGCAGTAAAGATCATCTAGTTATTGGGTTGCATTTGAACCAACTTGCAACCCTTATTCCTTATTCTTTATGAAACCTAAAAGAAAAACTTTGGTCTAGCAAAATGAGATTCACATATTCAACCTATAATACCCTCAAGCATCTTTTGGATGAAGTACCATTAATTTACCTTTTGAAGAAAAAAAGTTATCTTAATCGGGAATGGGTATCTCATTCCTAGCAAAGGGATACTCAGGTTTTAATTGCCATGATAATCTTCTATTTAATATTCGATTATTACCAATAACAATACGGAAATTAATATCTATATCATTAATATTTTCAGGTGTGAACTTTATTTTAGAAAGAAGCATGATTTTAGAAGGAATCTGTTGAGGCCCTTCAAGCACATGATTATCAAATATGGCCTCAAAAGGTCTGATGCAAAGAGTGTGACTGAATAAAACCGGAATAACACAGTAACTATATGTTTGTTGATTATCCCCGGCAACACCAGACTAAAGTTTTACAACGACACGGCTGATTTATAGAATACCAAAACAATTCTTTGATAATTCTATTGCAAATAATCAAAAGCTCCTCCTAGAAGGTTACAAAGTTGGCTATTTATAATTGATAAACCCTAATCAAACCACAAGCCTAATTAAATTTGGAAATAGGCTAGATTCCTAATAGACTTGAAAACTAAATAAACCTGAAAAATAAAGTAAATTAGAAACCCCTAAAATCACCAAAAAAATGACAGCCTTCCAAATGACTTGTCGAATCAGCCTTTGTTCAAACAACATTGACCATGATAGACCTAGATGCTGAAGTTCTCGCAATGTACAGCATCAATTGTGGAATGCGTTGAACTCATTATTTATTTGGTGTATTCTTTCTCATGTGATGAATAAAGCATGTGCTTTGTGCAAAATAGGCTTAATTTTCATTCAAGCCATCAACATAGATCCAGAAAAATCTATGCTAATTCATGTTGTGCCACATAAAAAATATCCCATATTTTCCAAAGGGGTGCAGACTGAGCTATGAACCTTAGGTTTTCTAAATTTTAGCCTCTCTAAGAACGTATTCTTATTGTTTGGGTTCTAAACCTTTTAAGCGGGTTCATCATCAAACTTTGTTTCAAGATAATCAGGAAAACACAGGAACATAGGCCACTGATTAGTATGACCCACTTTAGTTGAGGATACTGGTAATGGTGCCCTTGGTTGAGACCTAAGCTAAGCATTATCATTAATCTAATTGAAGAGCCCAGGAAGTGTACCAGCATAGATCAAAGAAAATATATGTTGGACAACAATATCTGCCTCCCCTTCGTTATAAAAGGAGCCCGTGCCAGCTGGGTCCAAATGCTCCTCACAGCCAACTGATAAACTTCCATATGGCATCCTTGTATCCAGCAATAATAACGGGCACAGTGTTATCCAAGTGCGCTGCAGCAAATTACAGAAAACGTCACAAGTGCTCGATGCAATCACTAGGATAAGTTTAAAAGAAGAAAAGCCAACTACAAATCGATGAGCTTCCAAATCTATATTTTTGGCAATTTCTCGTGCATTAGCAAATGTTCTCAAAATGTTCAAAACCTTAATTGCTTAGAGATAGTTCTTACGCAAATCCACGACATCACATTGTAAAACTAAATTACTGTGTCTGAAAAGTTATAAAGCAAACGATTTGACATAAGAATTTTTCTAGAGCTATTGCATGTAAAGAATCCAACAGAGTGAAAGTTCAAACAGTTGCTCAAGGATTGGGCAGTAAAACATGAGATTATACTTATGAGGATAGCAAGACAACAATTAGTTGGAGTTCAAATACTATAAGAAAAAAGGAAGAAGCTAGTTTTAGTTAGTTGTTTATTTGTTTGGAATTAGTATGTAAATTTAGAAGTCCTTTGTACATAATAAGTTTCTAAACTGTATTTGCGGAATAATTGAGTCTATGTTGAGCATATCTTCACATTCAGTCTATATGGGTATCCAAACCATTAAACCAAATTGCTTCTGCAATTTTGAATCTTTTACTGTCCAAGTAAATAAGAATCATCAGTCAACATGAATTTACGATCTTTTACGTCAAATCATGCTATATGGGTTTACATCAGCAAAACCATAATCCATATGCACAAGCAAACAAATGGCAACCAAAGCCTTAGCTCACCGTTATCTGATTCTAAGCAGCCTTAATTTCCATGACGCTTTGTCCTTCATCATGGCATGTTGCCAAAATTTGATGTCAAAAAGAAGGCTATTTGAACATGATAAATTTATCTACAATGGCAACACTGCAAAATTCATAGCAAGCTAGCAGACAACTTGAGATGTAAAAATTCCAATTACAGAACATAACTTACCATTAGACCACAACATGCCCCAAATTTCTTGGCTTCTTAGAGAATTCATTTTTATTGAATGAGTATATAAATTTTATCACATTAAATATCTAAGATAAGATGGCCATCACCTTGTCCGATTTTGAATAGGAGCAAATTAATTAAAAAATTCGATTCTATAAGAAACTGTGGCCATAATGAACATTTCATCAAGAAGCCTAAGCAAGATAAGTCAACACTTAATCTATTTAAAGAATAAGGGGACATTGCCTATTGCAATTGTAAAATACTTAGTCTAACAACTAAAAGGTTGTGCATCTGAATATGAGGTTACTACTTTTTGCATGTTATAGTAAAGGTTAGATCTGTACCCCTTCTATGCTTCCAACGTTCTTGCTTAATGATGACCAAACTGGATAATAAGCAAAAGAAAAGAACCATCACAGTAGAATGAAAAATTTCAAACCGTGGAGACTAGATAAAATATAAAAAAGAAAGAATTCAACGTTCAATTACAAGATCTAAGGTGTCTCACTCAACTAATATTATTAAGAAATATTTTGTGACCTAATTGTTAGTTACTAGGGAAAAAAAGGATGAGAAGAGTGGAAGTTGGAACAAAGTAAAGATTTTTAGCATGTTACGTGTGATAAAGGTCAGAAGTATACTGATATACAACTATACAAAGGTCAATGAATTAAAAAGAGTCTGTATTTAAGGCCCGGAATGTTATATCTATCCAATTTATGGTAACCCTGTTTTAGTTTGAGGCGTTGACATCAAATGCATCACTCAAAACTGTAGCAATTACAGAAAAACTTATGTGATGGTGAAGAAATTCGTTGCAATGTTGAGCATTGAGCTGATGCCTTATGTGTCCACAGATTAGGAATTCATTTAGCTAACCTTTCCAGTTTGAGTATGTCTTGTTATTAGTTGTAACAAATCCATGTAGCACTATCAACTTTACTGAAACTTGGTAAATGTATTTGCTTATTATTACTTATTACTCGTGTTGAGATAATTTCAAAATTTTAAAATTTCAACAACCTTCTTTTTGTAATTCTATCTCATTCCATTTGTCGTACATGGAATACAAGAGATCATAGCATGCCAATTGAATCCTTTATTAGAAACCAATATTCGGCTTCGAGTAAAGTACAAAGAAAAAGATATAAAAGTGAAATGAATAATGGAAGTGTAAATGCTTTCTGAACATAAAAGCAAATCCAGAGGGGGAAACACAAGTTCTCCACAGGGGAACGTTCTAGAATGCTTTATTTCTTTCTCCAGCAACTTGAGAAACGTATTTGCTTGCTATAACAGATCAAAACCAATGAAAGAAGAGATATACTCAATATTAAAAATTTGATTTGGGCACCAATCACCAATAACAAAATGCAAGGTGGAAGTGATTCAAAATTGACTTAAAAAGCAAGATTCAATACATCCCGCGGTAAGTTAGCATGTGCAGAAAAAGTCAAATAACAATCCCTGGTTAATAAAGAACTTTCAACATAGATAGTACCTTGACAAATGGAGAATCTACAAGAAGATGAGAGGAGACAGTCAAAGAGGATTTCAGTGTTCCCCCATACATCTCCTTTGAAGCCCAGCTGGCTATTGCATCATTCATCCGGTACTGTGTCATTAACTTGGTGGCAAGAACCCCTTCATGCAAAGCTGCAGCTCTCTCCAGGAGAGAGATTCCAAGACCACCTTCCAAGGCTTTTCTAGACAGAATAACTGGAGCAAGCTGGCATTGATCGCCTGCAAGAATACAGCGCTTACCCTGCAAGATTGGGATCCAGCAAGAAGGTTCAATTGCTTGCCCTGCTTCATCTATAACAACCAGATCAAAGGTATCCAACCTTCTAATCAGTGGATCGGCTGCTCCAGTGTTTGTTGTGAGTACAACTTGAGCACCTGATAATATTTCCCTCACGGTTTCCTTTTCCTTCTTCTTCAATGTTTTTCCAAGTTGTTTCAGAAGCTGGCGTATTCCAGCAGCTAGAGAGTCATCTTTTAAACAATGTCTCAGGTCCTTTCTTAAATCTGACTTCTTCCTCTCAAACTCTGCTTGAAAATTCGCAAGCTTCGTATTCACAATCTCAGCCAGAGATTTTGAAGCTACTGCAGGGGATATTCGTGCTGGATTGCCAACCCGAACAATGTCAACCCCAATACCAGAAAGTTTTTCAACCATGTTGTCCACAGCTGCATTGGTAGGTGCTGAGACAAGTACCCTTTCACCTTGTTTGACAGCAAGTAAGATCAGTTCCTTAAGCAAACCCGTCTTTCCGGTACCAGGAGGCCCTTGCACTATCAATATAGGTCGCTTCTTGTTCAAACCTAATGCTATTGCTCTTCGCTGGGACTCATCAAAAGTTTCACTGTATAACAATCCATCCGGTTCTCCCTCAGTCCAATCTGCCAAATGATTATCCTCCAGCCATGAAACATCGTCTTTCTCTCCAAAAAGTGTAGCCACAACAGCAATTGAAGGATTTCTCTTCTGCAAACCTTTCTTTTGAAGCATCATCAAGGCTTCACAATTGCGCTGCAAAAGAGATCATTTAAAAGATATTTGAACCCAATTTATGAAGGTCATGTTCTAATCATACCATTACATTACACTGAATATATTAAACTCCTCAAAAAGTAGACATTGTGGGATTGCTTTGCTTATTTTTTGATCGGTGTGAACGTTTTGTTGTTGCTTGTTGCAGTTTTGACACAATGACTTCTATTCAGTTGTATTTTGACTAAGGTATTTAAAGCAAAGGGATTGGTGTTGATTCAAGACTTAACAACCTGATTCTACTTGTCTGCTAGATACATGTAAAATTTTAAGATTGTTATATTGGTGGTCAGGTCAATTAGACAAGACAATGAGAATTATTTGACTCTATGCCAACAAGAATCATATTCACACCACTTTGTACCAGTATAATGCAAATAAAATATATAAATCATAACTGCAGAGTACAGGGGGTTGTAGCGTATGAAAAATGCAGCTTGTCATGGGCTTGCACTTTTCAAGCCCTCATGCAGCAGCCAGGAGGATTCAGGAAGGCAGGAAGTGACAAGCCGCTCTAGATGCAAAGAACACTAATCGATACAATAGTAGTATCAAGTTATACGGACATTAATAAGGATCCAATATAGAGGTACACATGTTCCCAAGCTATGTTGCAGTGTAACTTGCAATGTGTTGCAGTATATCTTATTTAAGTCAATTTACTAGAACCTATCAATGTATGGGTGTCCGAGACATCCCATTCTTTAAGTTTAAAATATATTGAAGTCCTCAACCTACCACTTCACTCATGCAAACATAAGAAGCTCAAGGAAAAGCAAACTTGCAGAAGGAATAAACTTTATATCTCAATTTGGGTTCCGAAAAGACCCTGTGTAGTCAAGTTTTAATTTTCGTAGACTCTGATCTAATGTTTATTTTTGGTTAGAGAATTGGTTATTAGTTTTTGTTTTGGCCTCTCAGGCTTTGGAGTCGAGGGTGAAGTTTGGTTTCATAGTTAGCAGAGGGTGCACTTTGCCCTGGTACCTCATGAAACACATAGCACCACCCTGTTCCCCAAAGCTTCTCTGCCTTCCACCAAATACCCCACAGTTATCCATTGTTTTTTTTTCTTTTAAATAAAGTGACACAACCACATGGTACACTGCCCCAAATTTTAAACAAGGCCCCAAAATGCTTAAACAAAGTCCAGTTGCTTCCATAATCAATCCATCAAAAGCATTGCACCTTTAAGTTCTAGTAGCAAATACATACACTACTTATCACAAGAGAGGTCTTCAGATTAGCTAGCATGTTCTTATTCTAGCACAATACAAGGAACTCAAAAATCTTGTGCAAGTGATCACTATGGAACCGACAAGATATCAACGAAAACCATTTAACTGAAAATCACAAGGTGCGTCAACTTGGACTATGTCTACTGGAGATCCAGTGAGGAGCCAAAGTCCATTAGTAAATTAAAGTATAAATTACAGCAGAAAAGATAAATCCTCACTCCCTAGCAACACTACCCACCCCACTTTCAGCTGTCAATTAATTGCTGATCCTGTCGCTTTGCCATGACCATGCATTACTTGAGTCATATCTGTGAACAAATATTGTGATGCCGCTGCTAAAGAATTCATGGCTCTCAAGTTTTTTTTGAAGTGTTCTAAATCAAGCAAACAAGAGGTTCAAGGAAGAGGACATTACTTAGAATTCCTCTTCACAAAAAGGGAGACAATTATTTTATTCAACTCTCTGCATCTTTTTTTTCTTATAAAACAGGGTTACTTGAACATAGAACAAATGGCTAAGAGTTCATAAGGCAGGTGCTTTAGGAAGGCCTGAATACCTCATTGTTAAAAAATCACCGGAACATAGGTTACCTAGCTTTTGAAATGACTTTCAACAAAAAGAGAAACATGAAGTGCATTTCATATCCCATCCATTTAGGAGAGCCATTAGTGGTAATTTCCATGATCACCAACTAGTTAGGTAAGCAAAAAACAAGCCACTTATGCTCCCTCCGTGGAAGAATTTCATTTTAAATAGAAGGGTATCATGCATGTTTAGTAACACTGGCACATAAGCATGCTGCTCCTTTCTCTGGGGTACAATAACCCGTTGCCAATGCACATATATATATATATATATATATATACACTGATAAATTAACAATTTGACATTACCATCCTCACTTCAAGAATGACACTTCAAATAGAAATTTCCGACATAGATTCTTAAAGCATGTTAAGAAGAAAGAAATGCATAAATAAAATAGAGGGGTTGAGGAGCAGAAGTACGAGAAAGAACAAGAGAAACCCCATCTGTTAATTGCTGAAGGTACCTGAAAGCTTATGGGAATAAGAAACATAATAATTTTGTTATAGAGAGAGAATTTAAAAGAAGAAATGATAAAATATATCCAAATACTCCCATTAAGAATGACTCAAAGTTATTGACCAGCATGTATACAGTTGAAATCCTCCTGACAACCAACAATGGGAGCAACTGTTTTAGTTTCTGGCTGAAGGCTGAAAAGGAAGGGGCTGGAGTCTTGGCTCTGGAATAGAATACAGAGCAATCTGAGAACTGGGTGCATGCCCATAAAAACAAAGTTTCATGCTGCAGATGCTTAACTCAGGCACAATTTGCGAGCACAAGCCTAGCCATCTTGAAGACACAGGGGTAGCAGTCAAAATGGTAAGAAACAGGAATGCTAACAAGTTTCTGATACATCCTTGTAATTGTTTTAAGCCAGCGAAGGGTGAAAATGGTGATATAACTAAGCACACGGGAAGAGAGTTGTTGGGATTAATATGGTAGATCTTGTTGCACCCCACTGCTAAAATAGGTGGCTAACCTAAGGCACGCAAATGCTTATCCCACATAATTTTCCAGAGTGTTTCTATGCTTTGGCTACAGGGGTAATTGGAACAACTCAAATGCCTTTGGGTTTTAAAAATGTTTCAGCCTCAATGCACATACACAGAGTGCAAATGATGAGTTTTCAATACCTCATATGTTAGCGCATCAGCCAAGCCATGAATGCGATCAATGCGCACACTCTTGCCAAAGAGCTTAGAAAAGGTGGGATCACCATAACGGGACTCCAGAGCCACAATGATGCTACAGCCATCCTCCCCTAGGTTGTTAACAAAACCTTGCATGCAAGAAGTTGCTCCAGCACCCCTGCTATCACAGGTCCTCACGCAAACCATGTCTCCGGGAGAAAGAGTAGTAGGCGGTAATCTATGATTCCCCTCCACCCTGAACAATACCAAATGCATTCCACCTAATCCTGTGCACAAAACCCCGTTCATAACATAAGCAATATGAAAATGCACTGGAGTGGTTACAGAAAGAGACAAGACCCAGAACGATTTGGAATGCTCCACATACATAAGATTAGAGTTACAGATGTTCATGGTAAAAGTTAGTTTTGTGACCTGTAGAAGTCCTAACTGCATTTAGATTGCAGATAGTATCGCAGAGTTCCTGCTCAGCCTGGCCATGGCTGACCAAAAATTCAATTGGTTTTGGCGAATCAGAACTCTCATCCGGCGTAGGAACAGCATTTAACTCCTCCTGAGTGAATTCTAATTCAGCATCCCTTTCAATGAGAAGTAGATCAGACATGAACTTGGTGAAATCGTCAATCCTGCTCTGAATAGCCCTGGCCTTCTCAAGGTCCATTCCTAAACCACTGTGAACGGTCTTTGGTTGGGAAACTTTCCTTGCAATTGCTCTATGCTGAGCTGCAAATGACACCATGCGGGCCAAGGTACCACCTTTTAAGAAGCAGAGGTAGTTGAAAATTAGAAAGAAGAATGCAAAACGAGGAGAAGGAACCTGAATTGGCGAGATCCTTGAGCAGCTTCCATGACTCAGTTTCGCGCCAATTGTCGACCAGTGACCTGCGCTGGAGGTGCTGGAGGACGTCTCTCAGTTCCCTCTGGAAGTGGTCGAAGAGAGTGGGATAATGGGTGCAGGCCTTCAAGCACACGGCCTCGAAACCAAGGGGCATCGGGATAGCGTTGAGATAAGGCTGAGCCTGGATCACGAAAGGGAGACCCGGCCCCATTCGCTGCCTCACCTCGGAGAACTCCCCTTGCACCTCCGCGGTGGCGAAATCCGAGGCCATTGCCTTCATTCCTTGGCATATCCACCTCACCACGCATTTGCCCAAATCCCTCCGCCCTAATGGGTCTCCGTTCTGATACAGAGAGCGCACGTTAACTGGTTTCGTCGCACGTGGCTGCTGCTGCTGCTTCTGTCGTTTTTGCTTCGCATCCTCCGAGTTTTCGTCCACCACCGATGTAGACGAGGACCCAACAACAGTAGTAATGGTAATAGTCGTCCGGCCAGGATTCTTCTTACGGTCCTCGTTGTTGGCACCATCACCTCCTCTGTTGTTGCGGCCGCGGCTTCTTCTCTTGGTACTACTACTAGTACTACTAATGGCGGCCTTGGATACGTGATCTGAGTTGTTCCGGATTCGTAGTCGGAATCGGAATGTAGATGAGAGAGTAGCTGCATATAAGAAGCGCTTGTCGCTGCTCAACACGGAAATGGATCTCAAAGATAAATTCAACTCATTGTGGCGCAAAAAACGGAAATTGAGGCAGCTTGGGGACTTCAAAGCCAAGGTGGAGACCCCGCCTCCGCCGCAGAAAACACAAGACGCTTCCATCTTTGTTTCTTTATTTAGTCTGCCAGTCAAGCCCCAGCCCAGCCCTCGGTGTCAGACGAAAGAAAGACTCACCAATAAACAACCTTCGCCTCCCTCCAAAGTCCCAAGCATCACCACCCGTTCGTATTCATTTCGTTAATCCGCCAATGCAAGAAGCCCCAAGCAGCTCATTCAACCAACGACTGGAAAAATATGCCTTATGAAATATATTTTCTGTAATATTTATCTTTTTTATTCTTTATTTCTGGCACAGAAGCCCGCTCCCGCTTTTTTGTTTACATTTGGAGCAGCTACTTGTGATTTGAGGTGAGAAACGGGCGAACGAATGGGAGGGTTTTGTCATCAATTTTTTTTTTTTAAATTAAAAAATTATTTTGTGTTATTTGTCCTTGTTTCGGCCAAATGAGTTATTGAGACACACTAAACTAAATTCCGTGGTTTCGCTCGTGTGAGGTTGCCTTTGCCTAGCACAAGTATTGGAATGTCGTTCGTTATCGTGCGCTGTGGCAGGTCCCACTGGCAAACGGAATATCATTAGCTCATCTTCTGATTGGCTCTTTTCGATTCTTTTGTTTGTGTACTCGGTTGGTCAATGTGTTCTGCTGTGCTTCTTTTATTTTATTTTTTCTATTTTTTTTATACGTGAATCTATTTATTCCTCCTATGCTTTGGAGTAATCGAATGCATAATATTCTTTGCCAATTATTTATCGATTTTCATTTTATTTTCTCTCTCTTGTAATAGAGCTTCAATTACAATCAGTAAATTTTAATTTCTTTATCCAAAAAAAAAAATTGCATCCTTTAAAAGTGATATTAAAAGACATCGACGAAGGTTGGTGCTGCACTTTTTGTGTGGCTAACACCTCCACCTTCTTTTTTGTGTTCTGATGTTATTAATTTCTTTATGGGTTGGATTGGACGGAGGAGGAGGAGGAGGAGGAGGAGGAGGAGGAGGGGGGGGGGGGGGGGTTGTAAAGGGCCGGGTTAGAGCGATATTGCATCATAGCATGATAAGTTCCAGCACTCCATTCATTAAGAAGATTCCAACGTAAAATCAGCTACCTCTTTTGCAGAAGAGTTTTGGACTTCTATGGCCCATTATCTGCACCTTATCAATTCCCTCATTTCATTCCAATACAGTACCGAAAATCCTTGGAGTAAAAGTTGTAGTATATTTGAGGATTTCTTTCCTTCCACATTTGGAATAAACACAGAAATGTTAAGTTCCAGAATTAGTTTGTTCACGATGGATCTCCACATTCTATTGGAGTATGGGCATTTGAAGAATAAATCATCATGATTTTCAGGTCTATCATTAAATAATATGCAATGCTCATCCAGGGAAGGTACTTATGATTTTGATCTATCTGTTGTACTCGACCTGCCTTTAATAGCTAACCAAAAAGTAAGGCTCCATATTGGTCATTACCACAAGTAGAAGAACACCATAGGCTTTACCCATCCAGTTGTCACACGCACAAACAGGCACCAAGTTTCAGTTTTCATCAAGACAGACATGTCAAGTGATTGAGTCATCTCATGAATTTTACAAATGAAACCAGAATCAATATGGACAAGCCTACCTAGGCTGAATTGACTTACATTTGTGTGTGTTCAACTTTTCAACATTACTTAGCAGAATCAAATATGCAAGATGTTACTATATTTCTATGCAATGTACAAGCACAAGTGTACAATCAACAGTTCTTTTCAATTAAATACCTCCACGATGAAATGTGTGTAGAGTTGGTTGACGCCCAACTCTTAAATTATTCTAGCAAGATGATCAAAGTTAGAACAGGGAGTGAATGTTTACAGCTATTGTAGTACGACTTTTTTTTCAATTCCTGTTCGGTCTTTCAATAAGTAGTCAGTTGCCGGCTAAGAAGTCTTGTAGTCAGACTTCATACTGATTGAAGCAGCTGTTGGAGAGAAGGCAACAGTCAGACCTGCAAGCACCGGGTCGTATCTAATAGAGGCTACTTGTGAACAAAATATCCCGATTACGGATATCCTTTGGTTAAAGCAACAGGCTAGCAATTGCATACCCAGCACTGCTAATGATGAAATTCTCACAAGCACCTTCGAAACAGGGAGAACCTACAGGTCGGTAGTCCTGTTGAAAAATCTTGTATAAATCGTCATTAATGGTCTCACCCATCTGACTTTTGCTCCTTGTGTTTTGCACAACCTACATAATGAAAATGCTATCAAGATCTCGTCATTACATAGTAGTATTCCTGCCAAGGCACCAGACCTCCTCTCCCAAAAATCTGATCCACAAAAGAGGCAATATGCTTCTCCTAATGCTTGGAAAAAATCCCAGCAACCAACAGCAATTTCACCTGCCAATTCGTCACAGCTTGTAACAGAAACCTCCAAGTCTGCCTCCTCTGCCCAGCACCCTTGCTACTTTTTCAACCATTATCATCAAAAACCAGTATATTCTTGGTTCGTAAAACAGGCAAGCATCTCTGATCCTGAACCAATCTTAGGCTCACAGCAGCAAACAACTGATCAGACCCAGAAAACTCAGAAGAGTATCCATCTTGAACTGCTTTATTTGCCAAGGCATCAGCAACAAAATTTGCCTCTGTACACATGTTCCAACGAATATTGCATTCTGCTCAAAAGAAGCTTTATTTGAGCTAAAATGCCCAACAAAGGCCAAGCACAGTCCACTATACCCTTAACAGAATTCACCAAGACCAACGAGTCAGATTCAATCAATACTTTATACACTTGCAATCCATACCCATCAACCAGAACAAGCCCATCAAGCAATGCCCTGAACTCAGCACCCATATTAAACTTATACCATAATAAAAAGATGCTGCTAAGGCCATACCTCCCCACTCATTCCTCGGTATTGCCCCTCCTCCAGCAACACGAGGATTCACTTAGCAACTCCATCAACATTGAGTTTTAAAACCCCAGCAACTGGATAAGTCCAACACACCCACATGGCCCTAGTGGACACCACGTATGGCATAACAATGCCTAACAACTGCAACACCATTCTGCCACTATTATTATCCAAAACCTTGGGCCTGATATTCCTCACCGGAAACCGTAAAAGACTACATACCTTCAGAAAATTAGAATTAAGAATTAAGTTTGCCTTTACCAGCCCTCCTACATCTCTCCTTCCATACTTGCCAAAAAATCAACAAGGCAAGACTTACTTATCAAACTACAACAAACAGGCTTTCTTTTAAAAACCCTGCAAAGTCTTTGCAATCTGACCAGAGTTAATTCACCACCAATCAATTGAAAACCACACATGGCAGCAAACCTTTCCCAAATGGCCTTAACATATTCACATTCCACAAATAAATGAACAGCATCCTCGCCCTCCTTATAACACAAAACACACCTACTTGCCAAAGGAATTCCACACATCCTAATTCTGGAATCCAAAGGAAGAGCCTTCATTACCCACTAAACAAGCAAGGGAATACTCCTAACCAAACCATTCCCCACATACCTCTTTCTAAAGATTCTGCATAGCCTTCTCAACCTTACCATTGGATGTTCATTATTGATCAGCAGAAAACCAACCATGTCAGCCAACTTATTCCAAATAGCACTAGCATATTCACAACCCACAATAATATGCTCATCATTCTCCACATTATTAAAATACATATAACACCTACTGAGCACTGGATAGCCCAACTTCTGAACTCTTGCATCCAAAGAAAGAGCCTCCATCAGTATTTTCCAACCCACCAACTGAGCACTAGGTGCTGTGCTCAACCACCAAATTATAGAAGCAGTTTCATTCCTCACTCCCTGCTGCCTAATCAACTGCCCAGGCTGCCTTAACAGAAAACAATCCGGAAGAAGTTTTCTGCCATACCAACCTATCCATCATATTACTTAAAACAACTCTAGAACTCAAAACTTCATCCCTTAACTGGTCATTAAGATACTCATCCACTCCCTCTAACTGCCGATGAGAATTCAAAAACAACTCAGCTACGTTGGGAAAACTTTGAGGCACCCCATCCACCCTGCTCAGCAATGGACCACCCTTTAAGCAAGCATCCATTCCTCAACAACTGAAAAGAAAACACATATTAGATTAGTTACGCACATAAAAATGAAAGAATAAATGATAACAAATACCAATAGGGGAAAAAATAGGAGAAGAATGATAAAGAAGTGGAGTAAAAGAAGTAAAAGAACAATAACCCCTAACCCCAAAAGTACGTAAGCCCTAAAACCCTATTTGAATTCTAGAACCTATTAATATCTTCTAATGCTACAAACTCCTAATTTTCTTTCATGCTTTAACCTTTTACTCCCTCTCCAAGTAATTGAATTTTGTTTCAAATATTTAACAATTTTAATAGAAAGATGATCAAAAAAGAAATAAAATATAATTTACATAATAGAAAAGCAAGCAAAACGCATATAATCAAAGAAATGGTATACAATTTTTGGTTGTGCAAAACATGAAAAATGAGAAGGAAACTATGGGTTAATGAGAGTGTCGGGGGATGAATTTAATAGAAGAATGATCATAACAAGTAATAAAAAAAAAAAAAAGTAGAAATAGTCATGTGTAAAACACATTTTACATGTAAAAGAAAGCTAATGGAACTGGGACAAATAAATATACTTATCTTTTCACAATTCAACTTACTACGCACATAAAAGTGAAAGTCTAGAACAATAAGGCAAAAAAAATAGGAGAAAAATGATAAGGAGATGGAGCAAAAGATGCAAAAGAACAATAACCCCTAATTCCTAAACCCCAAAACCCTAAGCCCTCTACGCCCTAAGCCCTAAATCCTATTTGAATTCTAAATTCTATTAGTATCTTCTACATACTACAAACTCCTAATTTTCCTCCATACTTTAAACTTTTGCTCCATCTCCAAATAATAGAATTTTGTTTTCAACATTTAACAATTTTAATAGAAAGATAATAAAAAAAATAAACATAATTTATCTAATAGAAAAGCAAACAACAAACATATAACCAAAGAAATGCAATGAAACTATAGGTTGTGTAAAACACCAAAACAACAACAAAAAATGAGAAAGAAACTCTGGGTTAATGAGAGTGTTGGGTGTTGAAAATAATAGAAGAATGATCATAACAAGTAATAAATACAAAAAAAAGTAGAAATAGTCATGTGTAAAACACATTTACATGTAAAAGAAATCCAATGAAACTGGGACAAATAGATATACTTATCTTTTCAAAACTAAACTCAGTTTTCCAAACTCATCTCGTTAAACTCTTTTTATTCCTTCATAAGC